AAAATGAAAACTCTGAAAGAAGTAGGGCTTTGATACTTTATATTGTTTGGGTATACAAGTCCTTGCTACATTTCGTTAGTAAAGTTTTTGCATTTTATTACTAATTATCACTTTATTGCTTTGCACTGTTAAGTTATTATGTACATTTTTGTTGGTTTTAATTGTTTATTTCTATATTTAGGTTTGTGCTAATGATGCCCAGTTATTGCGTATTGAGCAGCAGTTGAACCAGTTTGTGAGTCTCTTGAAGTCAAGGCTCCAGTGGCTTAACTCTAGCAGGTAATGCAAAATCAATATCAGTGTTACTAAATCAAATCAAAATCAAATCAATATTAGTGTTTTGTGCCCATTTATGATGCATGCAATTGAATCTCCGAATAACAAACTTCTTTTTAGAAAATCTTTATAATGTGTCTTTGCTTATTTTTCAAAAAATTTTGTGTGCTATAAACTTTTGTTATTGGGAGATTCTACTGTCTATTTATTATAAATTTTTACTTCATGTACATGTATCATCTTTCCCTCTTCCCTATCTCTTTCCCTTTCTCTCCAGTCGTCTATTGTTAGGTGCATTAGTCCATTCACATGCTATAATAATAATAGACTCATCACTATCTGATGCAAATCAACTGACCTCGTTCCTTGATGCTGTGAAATTATTCCTCAAAGAGCAAGTCTCGGCAATCGTTAAATTCAACATTATAAGGTAATTTACATACTTTTATTTGCAATACAATTAGACCCCGTTTACACTAATCCATTTTCACATGTAAACGGAGACTTTTTGATTCTGATACAACTTCTGTTTACACTAATACATGAAAATGCATCGCCTATCTGAAATAAACGAATGATAAATCTTATGAAAATGCAGCTGCTGGATTAGTGTAAACACCTGAAACGATAATAGCAAAAACAGTCAGGATTCAGTGAAGTGGATTAGTGTAAATAGGGCCTTAATCTACATGTGCATATGTATCATAACTATACATATATACCAACATTTTTGCATGTATATTCTTTGTCATGTGACTTGCAGGTGTACCGGAGGTCTGACTAGTTTTGCCGATAACTTGTTAAAAGTGTTGCCAGGTGTTGTTCAGGAGGGGATCCAGTGGTTGGATGAGGCTCATTCCAGTTCATTCAATGCACCAATGACTAATAACCTCATAGAGGCTGTCACTAGAGCTATTGCCTGTGAAGGAGTGAGTTACAATATTAAATATTGGTAGTACTATTAAATGCAAGTGTGAGTTACACTATTAGTATTATCATTAAATATAAATGCAGTTAATTTTATTATAAGTATTTTATTTTTCTCTTTTCCCTCTAGAATGATGCAGTATACATATTAACTCAAGGGCGCTCTGCATTAAGAAGCTATTCTTCTTTATTCAACATGCTCCAGCTGTCACATGTACCAGTTAACATTAGTGTGTATGAGTGCACTGATCCTGGAGCACTGGATGATTATAAGGAACTGTGTAGAGTGTGCAATGGAAGGCAAGGAATGCATGATTGTTGTCGTATATGAACTATGATTGTTTGTTCTCTGCTTCTCTCCTCTCTTTCTCTCCTCTTTTTCTCTTCCTCCCTCTCTTTCTCTCTCTCTCTTTTTCTCTCTCTCCCTCCCTCTCTTTCTCTCCCTTCCCCCCCTCTCTCTCCTTCTCTTTCACAGGTTACATGTCTATAATCCAAAGTCCCCAGTATATGATCCCATTGCTCCAGTCTCTTCACGTCCTTCATCT